CTACTTACTATGTAGTCGTCTACCTACTATAATATTACTTACTATATATATATATATATATNTAGTATATATATATATATATATATATATATATATATAGATAGATAGATAGAGAGAGAGATAGATAGATGATTGTGCAAGTAAAGGGTGACCTGAACACACTGAGGGCAACCAGTGGATGCTGAGCAAGAACAGTTAGTGAGTAGTTCCAATGCAGCTGTCAAAAGTTCTCTGAATAGTGGTTGTACCTGTCACCGGAAGTTGGAGGATTAAGGTCCTTGTGGTTCTTTAGCTATATATGTTATTTCAATAATAAGAGAGAGATTTATCATTTGCGATTCTTTAAAACAAAATAATTGCACTGGCTTTGAATAGCATTACTTGAGAGAACTCTTTTTTTTTGTGTCATGAGAATAAAAATCATGGGTCATCATGGCCAAATAATCAAGTTTTCTCATAGATACTGTGCAAGATGGATTCTCTCTCTCTCTCTCTCGGCCCAGTTGCAATGGATCTTTTTGTTTTCGAAAAAAAAATAGAACGATATTAGCATATAAACTGTATTTCAGCTCAAGTAGGAAATTCAACAAAAAGTTGCATGCAAGCTTTCTCTAGGTATCAAAAAAACAATCCCCATAGCTTGCTGTAAATTTCATAACACTCCAAAAAATGATGCATAGAAAGTGACACTGTAGCACTCTCGTAGAGTTGAGAGGCACATCCCTATACTCAGCTCATGAGGAAGCATAAGAGAGCAAAAAGTTCTAGAGAGAGAAGGAGCTTGTGTAAAATGTCTTTTCCCCTAAAAAACCCTTCCAATATATAGCCCACTTAAAGGAAAGAGAAAGAAGACACTTATAAAAGAGAACAGCTGAGTGTTACATCTCGATGGCTACATGGCTGTCCATTCAGATGGCCCTTCCTAGTTTCTCATTTTATTTGTATCCCTTTTAAAACATTTTTAGTGCAATAGAAAAAGAAAACAGTTTCAAATTGGACCTTTTTATTTTGCAAATATTTTAGAAACACATTTTCTTCAACTCTCTCTCTCTCTGAACATACAAATGAGTACGCATGCATGAAAGAACTCCTACATACATTGGCAACGGAGCTTGCACATATATATAGGTGGATACACAAATGTATGAAAGAGTGCAAAATGTTTTTCTTTTTTTGAATGGTGTGGGGTGGTGGTGAGGGAGGGTTCCCTTTTACAGTTATATATAAGTTTGTAAAAGGTACAAACTTCGAAAAAATTTAGGCGTACTTAAATTTTTTTAACACATTCATGAATGAATAAAAAAATATATTACTGACTAATCAAATTATAATGCCAATATAGCAGAGTATAATTTAAATTAAAACATTTTTTTTGATAAAGTTAACTGAATTTAAATTAAATCGTTAGCTATATGAAAAAGTACAAATTTGTTTCTTTTTTTTTGGGTGGTTGGGGGGTGGGGGTGGGGGTGAGGGGTGAGGGAGGGTTCCCTTTGACAGTTATATATAAACCTTGTAAAAGGTAAAAACTTCAAAATACTTCAAAATTTTTAACACATTCATGAATGAATAAAAAGATAGCTAAAATTTTTCTTTATAGCCAAGGACCAAAAAATTATATATTACTGACTAATCAAATTATAATGCTAATATAGAACAGTATAATTTATATTAAATCATTAACAGTAAACTACTAAGTTACTAAAGTCAGTAATTTTGAACCTTGAATTTTTGATTTATTAAACTTCATAACAAATACCTGCTAGCCAGAACTGAATTATGTAGAAATCAGAATAATGCGTTGAATATGTAAGAATGATTATGTAAAATTCTATATTTGTCCCTTTTAGAAAACTTTGAAAAAGAAATTAGTCATTGCATCAATTCACTACACATATGTTGACTTGATTTTGCTGAAGATGAAACTGTGAGTTGGAATCACGTTTTTAAGACAATGATTTGTTCATAGGTGAACTTTTGCCAGCAACCTTTTGAAATTGGTAGGCGACATGGTTGAGAACTGGTCGCACTTAAGCACTGATAAAAAAGAATAAAGAACTCTTTTCAGTTCATGCCTTTCTCAAAAAAAAAACAAGCTCTTTTGAGTTCATGCAGCAGAAGTTTCTCTTAATATGCAACAATGCCAAGCAAACAAGTACTCTACATCTATGTAACAAAGAACATTTAAGTTCTTTATATCCCCAAGGAAATGCCAAGATAGCTAGCACCTTATAAGACACTAGTGTACAGCCTGTGTGTTGGACGGGCACGAGAGAGAGAGCCTGTGCGTTGGACGGGCACGAGAGAGAGAGAGAGAGAGAGAGAGAGAGAGAGAGAGATCATTAATACTTGCGTATGGTAGAGTTAGTGTTATTGTAGATGGATAAATTTGATAAACCTGGATTTGGTTTTTTATGATGAATCCTTTTCTCGCAATACTTTACAAAGAAAGATAAAGGTTACCAATTGGATAGATAATGGAGAGTCGTGATTACTTTGAATAAAATTAAGGGCATTGATTGTCTTGTGTAACAGATAAACACAGTTTAATACAATTAGAAGGTAGTATTAATTTATACAAGCCCGTAAATCAAGTTTTAATGAGTAAAGTTTACAACCAAATAAAGGAAATCAACAGTAAATAATTGAGATTGCATTGCATGTACCTGAGCTGAAAGGCCCGTGCCTCCGGGATGTTGATCATAAAACAAAAGTCTCTCGGGAAAGCAACGGGTGTCATGGGGATTTGCACACTCTGTAGCCAAGTCTGAGAAATTACACACTATGTATCTGCACAACAAAGTTGAAAGAGTCCTTAAGTACTTAATAGAGGTCAGACGTGAATGTATAATGAGATAATGCAGACAGCATGCCTCAATTGTAGTTTAAAGGAAATAAATTCCTGCAGTATGCACAAAATATAGGGAAGCCAAGGTTACAGCTTATCTCAAAATTAGTGAACCAAGGGCTTTCACAGTAAATTGATGCAGGTAGAATACATCTTCGAGCAAAAGATTATTTGAGGAAGTGGCACAAGAAAAGAAATCGGTACACATGGCAAGTATATATTATGGCAAGCATGCTGTAACATCTAAAACTATTACAAACAGCATTTACTGACCAGGGCTAGTCAACTTGGACGCACCCAAGTCATTCTGGATCAGCAGGATGTTTGACTCGATAACATCCCCCAACACCTCGCCCCCCACCCCCAAAAAAAAAAAGAAGGAAAAAGAGCACCTCTCCTGTGCCATATAGAAAACATAAAATACTCTGGTGAGTACCATGGGATTTGAGAAACTCGGCAAGTCGTAAGAAACTCACCTGAGTTCCACCCTTTCTGATTTTGACTGAAATATGAAGGGGGGAAAATCCCCCTCAACACCACCTAAAAAATAAAAATACAAATTTGTTCGTCTTTTAGCCCATAACTCACCCGTTTGAGCCCTAATTAGGCCCATAGATTTGTTTTTTCAATATTTATCCACTAGATAGATCAGATTTGAGCAATAACAATCAAATTTGACAGATTTGAGAGTGAAGATTTCAACCTAGGTATTGCCAGATTTCAAGTTGTGATTTCTACAGTTGGTCAATCTTCCATTAAATTTGTTCACCAAGCCTATATTTGTGTTCTTCATCCAACCATACGCTTGTTTCTCCAAAAAAACAACGGGGATTTATGAGATATTAATTTTGGATTTATGATTCACTTGAAGTTTTCAATAGGCTCGAATCACCTAGACCCGAACTCAAAACCCAAATGGTTATTGGGTAGGGGGTTGGTAATTTCAATTGGGGTTGTCTAATGAAGCTTTGACTAGGATTGGATGCATCGCTTCACACCTAACACGAAGATTGGGGGATTGCTTTTGCCTTTTCAAATAAGCTTCATTTTTACTCAATTCTAAGTTCATGAAATTTATATATTTATTACTAAATCGATTATAATTCATTTATAATTAGTTTTCTATATAATTTTAATTTTTTTATTTTTAATATTTTTTAGTTTTTCTATTTTAAAATTTCCTTTTTTTGGATTCTGTCATTTTTTCCAAGCCAATAAATTTTTTTTTTTTTCATATTGCATGTTATATATATATATTTTGTTTTGTATATTGTTGGATTTTTCTGCATTTTGGGATTTGTTTTTGAGATTTTCTTATTTTGTCGGTTTTTTTTGGCTCATCGCGCAACTTGACGTAGACTTGGGCAAGGCGACTCAGACAAGCTAGGGGAAAGTTGCATGCATGAGCCCCATTTTCTAACACAGACTAGAAACAACTCATGAAAATCCATAGCCTGTTGGGTTATCACCATCCATTGAAATGATGGACAATGAGAGAGAGAGAGAGAGAGAGAGAGAGAGAGAGAGAGAGAGAGAGAGACGACGAGACGTAGGTCGGGCGACCGTACCTCGTCGTCGGTACGTACCGTACCCTACCTTCCTTCCTACTACGACACTACCTACTACTACTTTACTAATA